GCAGTCCATCGCCTTGGTGTTGCTAAGCATCTCGGCCCTGCCAACGGGTCGTGATACCATTGTATTGATGAACTTGGCCACCTTGACGACTTTCTCTCGATGATGCGCTTTGGCCGGGACACAAGGCATCTTGGGATAATCGCCCTAAGGGCAATCCATCACGCGCTGCCATGTCTTCCCACTCATACATGTATGCCAGTTCATCCGTACATTTGGACACATCCTCCCGTCATGGTGCTTTCCGAACAAGAATCATCAATGTTCTCCGACAGTCCCCCATCATGGTCGTTCTTTGGGATAGATGCAAGACCTTCCCTTTTTTGGAGTAAACTTCCATGCATAGATAACCACCAGTATCCCATAAACCTCGTCCAACCACATTGCTTGCACCAAGATCTTGAAGACGTTTGGAGTCCATGCATAAAACTGACCCATTGATCGGATTGACAATAATCGTAACCGGGTTCTGGAGTTCTTCCGTATGCCCCAGTTGTGCATCCATTGGTCACCACCCCATCGTTCTTTGAGCATTGCTTTTACTCCTTTAGCGCTCGGAGCGCTGACCTTTGTACTTTCTGCAGGCGCGGCGTCCTTCGAGCTACCAGTGCCATCCTTCTTCTTTGGATGAATCACGCCTTCCTCATCGACATCAATCGCATTCCGTAGTGTTGCCCAGTCCACAGGCGTGAATCCTGCCGGTCGGGTTGTCTTCATCGTGAATCCATCTGCACCGACTGGATAGGGTCTCCCACGAAAATCAAGCTTGACCGTTTTGCCGAGATCGTTCCTGGTGCCATCTTTTGCTTTCCCTGTTGATACATGGGGTAGATCAGCCCAGCTCGACTTCGACGTCCTCGCCCTTCTCGTCATGCATGATCCCAGCGATCACCTCGATCTCATCGAGTTGTCCCTGATTTATATCCTGCAATAGAGTGGGATCGGGGTCATCCTCCTCAACTGGTTGCTCCAGATGAACGCCTCTATCATCCTCAGTCTCATTCCTTTTCATGTACTTCTCTGGTATCTTTAATACGATCCTCTTGGTCTGATGTGGCTGGCGTAGTCGGGGTGGAATTTTCGCCTTCCTTATGGACAGGTCAGCGCCGGCGAAGCTTGTGAGAGTCCAGGCTTGATATTTGCGTGCCCAGTGAAGACCAGAACAGAACTCAGGTTGTAACCAGCAAAGATACAAGTTTCCCCTTTCGGTTCAAACTTCTCTCTCTTGTCACCTCTCGCATTGCTCGGTTTGAATTCAACCAATGCGCCAAACAGGATCTTCTCACCCTTGAAATGTTCACCATGTCATCAAAACCATGCGCTCGAACCGTTGATCTCTTCGACGTTCGTCAAATGGCACAGTGCAGTGATTGCGTATATCCAATAGCGAGACACGCAGTGGTTTGGCCCACGATGAACTGGTTCGTGCGTTCAGCAAGCAAGTTATTTTGCTTCTTGCCCGGAAGCGATAAACCACGAGGTGTCTTCAGTTCAGAACACGCATTGATGAACTCCGGCGCATCGTCCGAGTAGACTTGTTTCATCTTCCGTCTGCCAGCAAAATGCTTGATGCTGTTGATCACCGTGACGGTATTCTTGCGACCGATTGGATAGCCCATGATGATGCCTGTGTATATAGCTCGAATGATCATGACGTACTTGTCATTGTTCTCGGCATCTCCTGCGGCTTCAACCAGATCGAAAGTGATCAAGTCACCGAACGTCTTGACTTCACGTTGAAACGCACCAGACTTGGACCTGACATGCCTCATCTTCGCCTTCACGCATGACTCGCAGAATGGGATTCGATATCTGTGCGTTAGCAAATGAATGTATCAATGTGTTGGCATCGTCTTTCAACGTACCAATTCTCTTCTTGATAGATGCACCTTCGTAGATGTCGACTTCTACACCTGCTTCGAGATCTGCATCTTCATCTTCACCCTCAGCTTCGTCTTCACCCGGCTCGGGCTCACGTCCACGAGCCTCTTCACCAGGTTCTTCGACTCTAGGCGGCGCGGGTCCCGCTCCACCAGGCGGGCCGAAATCTACGGCTTCCACGCCATTCTCCTCCCCGGCAAGCGCATGTTGGGGTTCTCCGACTTCTTCGTCCGCTTCTGCTTCATCGCCATCCCGTTCAACATCGATGACTTCTTTGAGCATCGTCATGCGCTCGATGATGTCTTCCGACACGGGTCTATGACGATTGCTTCTTGCATTCCGATCTCCAACCAAATAGGGAATATCATCCTTGACGTGTAGATGAACCATCTCCTTCTCAGGTGTTATCATGAACGGCAACTTCCCACAAATCCAGTGAAAATATTATCCCGTCTTCATACATCGTCGACCAATAGATAACACCGTCGGCGTCTCATCCAGAACAAAGGGTTGGACTGTTTCCTTCAGCTCATTCACGTACTACTTGATAGAATCCGAAGTGGACGTAGTACCGTTTGCCGTTTGGAAGACAATTTTGTCCTTGTCCTGAACAATGTCAACACCGAGGGAGGTCGCCTTGGATTTGCCGATCAAATCATGACCGCAACCTGTGTCCATCAGCCATCATTGCGAAGACTGATAGGTTGTCCGTGCTTCCTTTTCCATTGCACGACTCCTTCCGTCATCCTCCTTGTTCATTGGCATCTTGTGAGTACGATATATGTCATTGGCCGCCTCGCTCATAATCTCGGCTCTGACAAGCGCTTTCTTGTGACTATATGCCAGGCGCCCGTGATGATCGTATGTCTTGAACGTTTTGGCGTCGCTCGGTTTTGTGGATGTTTGGGACTTGTCCTCATAACTTCCCTTGTACCACATCAAATTATTCCGCCATTGTTCGTCCTCATTCTTCAGGCGCTCCACCTCTTCGCTCACGTCATTGTCAAGAATTATGAAAACATACGTACTTCTCGGGTATTTCACCTGACCACCGCGAAGATTCACTCATGGCGTCTTCTGCATCACGGTCGTGATACACAGTCTCGACCTCGGCTTCACTCTCCTCAGTGTTCTTGTCGTCCTTTTTGGCTTCCGAAGTCGCGGCTCTCTTGACAGTGATGGCGGGCATTGCGAGGTGAACTGCTGCTTTGGGCCTTTGCTTGTTGTTTGGCGTTCGGTGCTGGAGCGGATGCTTTGGGGTTTGCTGGTTCTGCATGTTTGTATTTGCATTGATCTTCTTTCGTGCACTTTCCTTCTCTCCACGCATAGCAGACCCCGTCCCTCTTCGGTGAAGGAGTCCTTGGAGCTTTGCCGCCGCCTTTGCCCTTGCCTTTCTCATTCTCCAGTTTGTGCTTGTGCTTGGGGTTGTGGGAATATGGACAATCTTTGCCTTTAAAACATCCTCCTTCTTTTGTGTAGTGGAAAACACATGGCTGTATCCTCCTTCCTCAGGTTGAGCAAGATATCATACCACTTGTTGCGGAACACGGCCATGTTCTTATCCCCGGGGTATTCCAGTTTGATCAAGCGCTCAATGGTGAAATCCATGTCGGTCACTCGATCTGAAGGATTGTAGGATGATAGCGATGATCTCTCTTCCTTTGGTCAGCCTGTTTTTTTTTGACGTTGTTCGGTGCGCAGCTGAATATCGTGCACCACATCCTTCGCATCATCAGGTGCGCTTCTGAGCATCATTTGGAGCGATAGGGCCAGCTTAATTTCCATCATTGCAAATCGTTCGCCTCCCGAATCTGCCAAGAAGTCAAGGTCAGGGTTTACCACGAAAGCACATGCCAGCCATGACATCCACACTTCAATATCAGGATCTGCTGACGCGCTGGTGACGTTCATGAACGCATTTTCCTCTTCACCTCTGATTCAATGTTCAAGAAGATCAACAGTCGCGACCATCTCACGGTGTTGCTTCTCGTACTTGAGGACTTTATGTCGGGCTTCTTCTTGATACTCTCCGTAGATCTGCATAAGGTGTTGCGCTTGATCTGCGGCTAGCTTTGTCTCCCCACGTTGAACGTCAATGTGTTGAGCAGCTTCTCGAAGTTGTTCGTCGGATCTTTTGAGGATATGAGCTACTTGCTGTTCCGAAATACCAGCTCTCCATTCCAGTTCCTGAATGCGCATGACATTGCCACGGTCGTCACGTTCGTATGACTCCTGTAGCATAGCCAAATTGCGCGTAGCCTCTTCCACTTCCTGCTGATCTTTGATGGACTTGAGCTTGTAGGCGACTTCGATCGCCCTCTCTCCTTTCTCACGGGACTCATGACGCCTTTCACGCTCCTTCTCGGTGTCGATTATGAAGCTGATGACGATCTCTTCTCTTCTCCGTCCCTAGACCACACAGTGTGATCTTTCCAGGAGGAGGAATGTGATTGGTCGTGGCCAAAATCAGAACTTGCTTGCCGGCGCAGCAAACATACCTGTGGAACCACTAGAACTGTCATTTCCAAAGGTTGCGGAAGAATCCGTTGCACGGCTGTAACTATGTTTCAAAAGGTTGGATTGTGCCGCAGTTGCAGTCCTCTGCTGGGACCAATTGTAAGCTTACGGCTGACAACCTGCCAGGAGGCGAGCCATCCACGAAGTCAGTGACAAGGCAGTTAGGGTTCGATTCCCGTGGGGTGACGTTGTAAAGCCGTGTAGTCGGGGTCGTTGTAAATAGGGGTGGTCTGCGTTGTCTCACAACCGCCTGCAACAGCGGAGCACGGTCGGTTTGCTTCTTTACAGCTTTCCGTTGGATATTAGTCTTGAGTCAAAGCATCCATATGCATGCGTCGGGTGTTCACACAACAACATATCCGCAAAGGTTCGAGGGACCTTACAGGAGGGGAAGAGAACAGGGTGACCTCAGAACCTGCCCTTAGGATTTTGGCCTATGGCCCGGGGATTCTTAGCAACAGGCGACCTTACTTCACCACTCCCTTCACACCGATCACGATAGCAACTTGAAGAGGTTGACTGCTGTGCGTAGGGATGAATCAGAATCACAGCCGACAAAGGCGCAAAACACACTCACTCACACCCACATGTGTGTAGGAGTCCACCTCGCTATCGCCCACATTGCCAACAATGCAGCGACCTGCCTGGGGCAAGGGGTCAACATGGGTCAACATGGCAAGGAAAGAAGCAAGATCAAAAAGGCCCCTTCTATGGCTCGGCTTCGAACCATGCGATCCACCACCACCACTGCTGCTGTGGTACCTCAGCACCGTCTGTTGACGCCAAGCCACACTATGTCCCGCTCCACCGTCCATGAGATCCTCTTCCCGCGCCAGCGTCAGCCACTCGGCCTGCACTCGAAAATGCAAAATGCAGGCTGCCGCTTTGCCGCTTGCTTGGCTTTCTCGGAGGCGCTCGCTTTTCACAGGCTTTTCAAGTTTGGCCTCGGTTTGGGCGAAGGCCTTCTGCAGAGCAAGCTCTGGCTCCTGGCAGATTCTCAGTTCCGTCCCGCATTACATGGACATCAGACCGCGTGGAGCTGGTCGCGATTCTCCACCAAAAGTGCAAAGAGGCCTAGCGAACCGCACGAAAATGCTCAGCTTGAGCTGTCAAATATAAGCACTCTGAGGTCCCTGGCGGTCGCTGGAGAACTCAGCAGCTCGAGACCCGCCGTGCCTTTCTGACTTTCTGTGATGCGCGCAGACCCGTCGCTTGCGCGCACCCGTCAAAGACGGAGAAGTAGGACAAATCCCCCAGCCAGGCTTCTGCCTGCCAGTCGACGCAGTCGACGGGACATCATCAGCCCCCGCAGCTTCAGTGACTCCTGCGCCCGCAGAGACGGGCTGCAGCAGGCGGCTCCAAGCACAGCTCGGTGGGCATCCTGGCGCTATGTGCAGGCATCCTATGCTCGTGATGCCATGCACCGCCACTTTCCTCCATTTCGCTGCGCTGGTTCTGGATGGAGTGCACTCCGTAACCTGAAGGGAGCACTTCTGCTGAAGGTTTTGACTCCTTTGGCTGACAACTCGATATGGTTCGATCTGGCCCGCGCGCTGCAAGAAACCGAGGCACCAGCGCACAGCTCCAGGCAGCCGGGGTGAGATGGTGGAGGTCAGGGTCCTGAGCAAGCAAGAGCTGCAAGAGACGTGTCGCGCTGACGTGAACAGCCAAACCGGAGATGTCTGGAGTCCTGCTGCGTCGGCTTCGCGGGTCGAAGCGCCTCAGCAAGAATTGGTCCCCGTCACAAAACGGGGGACGGAGGCCAGCACGCTTGACCCTCCTCCTGAGATCGGGGATGGAATTCAAACACAGGGCCATACGTAGAGGCATGCCTCCGCATCAAGCTCCAGCTTGGCGACCCGGTCAGACATCGTGCCTCTGGGCTTGCAAATGGGTAAAAACATGCCACAAAAACGGTCAACCAAACCCAGCCCAGCCGCGGCCTCATCCGACCCGCCAGGGGCCTTTGGCCCAGGCGGATTTGCTGCGGTTATCTTGCTGACCCGTGGTCTCTGCAAATCGCTAGTTGTTTTTTTCTCTTGCTGTTGCGCAATGTGTGCTAATGCCCGCTGGTTAGGCCAAACGCTACAAGTGCAGAGGGCTTGGTCTGGAAACTGCACACAGGCGAGATTGAACTTGCCAAGCCGCGAGATCCATTGCTTTGCGACTTCTGCAGTTTCCTTCCAAGCGCGCTGAGGCCCCCGCCAGCGAAAGCACGCGGACAAGCGAAACAAACCGGGCTCACGCAGAGTTCTTGCGCGAACCTAGTCCCGTTTTCTTTCGGCAGCTCGGCCGTTGGATCGCCAATTTCTCAGGCTCTGCTCGAACAGAACGTGTCAATTTCTGCTTTTGCAAAACGTCCGAAATTTCCTCCTCGCAGTGGGTGTGTCCCCGATTTTTTCACAATTCGTTCGACACTTGCCGTGTGTTTAACTTCGGTTAGGTTCAAAGTGGGGCAGCAATTTGGCAAGGAAGTGAGAGAGTCTTTCATGGTCTTGATGGTGTCATGGTACGGGTCGAGGTCCAGTGACAGGTTGTTGACAGCGTTTGGCTCATCTCTGCACCTAGCGCGCGCTGACACATGAATTGGCACTTTGTGGGCCACGGCTTTGACAGGTCTTTCAATGTTTTCTGGGTCAGAGTGACACAGGGCGCTCCATCAATGAGAGCAACAAACGGCACGGAGTACAAAGTAATAGCGAAGGTACGGCGAGAGACTGACAAAGCTCGACAAGACTTAGTGGTATTCAGTGTGGCTCCGAGTCCAGCGGTTTGTAGGGCTGTTCGAGGAAAGTCCCGCACGCTCTACCCGCGCATTTTAGCAACCAGCGCTCTAACTCTCACGCGTGCGCCTTGTTTGTTAGCGTTCTGCTGCGCCTGATGCTTTCGCGGGCAGCTCAGAAGCTCAGAAGCTTAGTAGGTTTGCGCAAGTCTCACTATCCCTGAAATTGTGAGCAAGGCCTTGTTGTTTCGACTGTTGTGCCAGGTGTCTGCTTCAAATTTCTTGCGACGCAGGTATCCTCCGTCCAGCTTCAAAAAGCACAAGGGCGTGCCCACCTAATGGAGCTTCGGAAGTGGGGCTGGCTAGTTTTGCCTATAGTTTGCCTTGAAACCTTGAAAGGTGACTAGTCATTGTGTTTATGTGTGTGTTGTTTCCCTTCATTTCCTGCTTGGTTTGCGCCAACCCTTGGCCAGGGGCTTCCAGTGACCGGACCGACTCCTGCTCACGAAAGACTGAGTGACAACCTAATGCGTGGTTGGGTCCAAAAAGTGCCAAACCTAATGCGCGCTCGATTGTGGGCTCGCACTTGCAAATGACCGCATGGCGCAACGCAAACGCAAACGCTCAATGATGATTGTCGCCTTTCACAGCTATGGAGGGTATGCGTCGCGCGCTTGACCGGCAGCTCCTTGACCACGCGCAGTTGTATGGCTAGCTAGTTGCAGTTTTGTTTGATTACCCCATGTAAGGATACTGGATAAAGTTAGTGGTGGTACCTCGTCGTGGGCCTTTGCCAGAACTATGAGCAAAATCTATGAGACCAACGTGTTTTGCACGAGGCAAGGTTAGTTCACCTGCTGCCTGATTGTTCTCGCGTTTCGCAGGCGGAGCGATGAGGACCATGCTGCTGCAAAGCGGGCCTTTCCTTCGATGTTGTTGGATGTCTCGTGGTTCCAGGTCCCCATGATGAGTGATAAAGAAAACATAGAACTAGATTCGTGGCCTTTTACGTTACCACATATCTTTGCCCCAACCTCAGTTTGATTGCTTGCGCTCGCCTATTGCGAGCTAAAGCCCTACGATGAAAGGGTGCGAGGTTCAGGGCTTTCTTGAACACGGACATCGCTCAGCGCTTGGCGATTCGCCGTTTAAGATTTGGAACAATCTGGGTCACGAATGCCTGCAAGACACAAGCCCTTTTGATGAGAATGTGGCGCTGATGTTGACGCAACCTAACAGGGTGAGCCCTCTATGGCGCTACACTTTCAACCAGAACACTGTCCATTCTCAAGTGACAGCAGGGCGTCGCGGCTTCTTATTGCGCTTTTTCCCAAATCATCTTACATAATAGCAGCGGGCGCCCTGAACAAAACTGTACAGGCAGTTTTTGGGATCATCAACCTCGCGTTGGACAATCTTGCATCTGGGCTTACTCATGGGCGTGGTCGGTTACGGCTGGGTGACGTCGCTTAAGGGCGACTGGATACTGAGGATCCTTGGGATGAGACACCTTTGATTATGCTTGCCCCAGGCTTCAAGCTTCAGGACGTGCAAGTTGACTTGTTGCACGCTTGGCATCTAGGAATGGCTCGCAACATCATTGCAGGTGCGCTTGCTATCTTGGTGCGCGCTCGTGTTTTCCCCGGAAAGAATCACAAAGATCAACTATGGCACGCTACGCTGTCTTGCCGCCGAGAGTCAAAAGGCAAGGGACTGCACTTCAAGTTTACGAAACCTCACCATGAAACCCGGTGAGCATTGTGAGCTTCGCATGAAGGCAGCCCACACTGCAGTGACTGTTGCATTCGTATCCGAAGAACAGGGGCGTGAACCAGACGGATCTATGAGAAGATTACTCTTTATCGCTGACCGCTTGTTCAGGTACATGATCTCTGGCGACTGACGGCCCAACTGTGCTGACATGCAAACAAGGCGAACAAATCAAAGAAATGGGTGCGTGTGTGGTGAAGCCTTTTCTGCAAATGCATGTGCTAACCAAGGGTTTGACAGTGTATATGTTTCACCACAGTACGCTGGCTGCTGAGCCGCAGCCAGCATCCTACATGACTTTTATGGATGAGGATTGGACCGACGCCTGGTGTCAATGTCAGAAAACGACACAAACGAACAAATCCGCTCAACACAGTTCGCTGCATTTTGCTGGACATGAGCTACAGGTTGCAGAAAGCTAACAAAGCTTCGGCTGAGAAGCAAAGTGATACCGTATAGGCGACTGCAGCTCGCTCCAGATTGAGAAACTACAAAGACGTGTCACTGTTGGACATCATTTTAAAGTTTGCCTTCTGTGTGTGTGTGTGTGTAGGTTTAGCGCATTGTGTATCCCGTGCAAACTACTTGGAAAAGCGGTTCGAAACCTTGTTTGGAAAGGCGCGGCCGTTTCAGAGGCAACTCCCCCCCCCCCATTTTACAGGTAAAAGCGGACATTTCAGTGGTAAATCCCCCTTCCGTGAGTGCTGAAATACACAGCTCGGGTGGCATCAGCCGCAACCTCGATACCTCTTCGTTCAGGGACCCTTTTTCCCAGAGATGCGCTGAGCCAGGCTCAACACACCAGGCACCTCGAATGGAAACAAGCTCCGTTTGCACGTCGCATGGCGCACGTTGCCACATTGCTGCATTGCCACAAAGCGGCAAAATCTCAGTCGAAGAAGTCGGAAAGCTTCACTTCAGACTTGACTTCGCTACCTCAACTCTGCCAAATCGTTCAAACAAAATCCTCAGCAAATCCACTCATCCAAGTTTACATCGAGCTCCGAACCCTCAGCGCCCCTCATCCATTTCAGTGGAGGAGGGATGTATCGTGTGCCTTGAATCTGCGACGGTGCGCAGTTGCGAGCCAACTGCAACCCAACTTCAGCCCAAGCGGCCGTCAGGGTTAAGGTGAGCATAGAAGCAGCTAGTGCCGAATGGACAGGCGCCTGGAAATCCATGCGCACGCACAAACCGGATGCAGCTGGGGCGCGCGCCACGGCCATAGTCAAACAGCTTGCACGGAATGCGCCCCATCTCCTTGCATGAGAGCAAGCTGCTGCGGGCACGTCTGCGTGTGGAGCGCGCGCACTGCGCGTGTCCGTGTGTCTGCGTGGGCGGGGCGGGGCGGGGC